TAAGGTCTTTCCTTGGCTTCCAATAGAAAAAATAAAAAAGCATTGAAGACTGGAAAGTTAGTTTGCTTGCTATTAAGTAAATTTGATTTATTAAGATAATGAGGAAGATGATTCAGTCTCTGTGGTCTTGCTGATCAACAAAGTAATACTTGTGGCACACAGTGTGACTCTTCATTTTAATGACTGGGGCTTTCTTATGAAACCAGACTCTTGTAGTAATATGGATGAACTCTGGCATCCTCATTATTCTGAAGTTCTAGTGATGGACACTTGGCATGTAACCTTCATTCACATGCTGAATCTGCTCTGTGTATGCATTGTACCTTCATATTTCAGTCTTTGAAGGTTTAATAATTTTTATCATTTTTCTAAGTTAATTTTCAGCCTCAGAGTATAATGGAAGGATGAATGAAAATGTGACATAAGATAGCATAGTGTAGTTTGAGTAAAAAAATTATTTACAGTATATAATTTTTTATTTTTTAAAATTTATTTCTTATTAATAAAATAATTGGTTGCATTCTGCTCTAACATTTTACCTTCAAGGGAGCCATTCTTGGTGCAACATAGGCAAAATTCTAGCAATTCAGGCCAACAGAACCTTAGTCTTCAAAAATAATAAAAAAAAAAATTCGCTGTAGTTCAATTTTGTTCATTAAAATCCACAGTGGTTATTACATGGGAAATCATTATTTTTCTAAACAGTGTCCTACTTTCAAACTAGAAACTTAGGCTAATAGAAGTCCTATGGGTCACAGCCAGCAGTCATCTTGGTTTCATGGGAAGCATTGCTACACTATTTCAATTATTCCAGATTTGTTGCCTAAAGGTGCACATTTTGCTCCCTTTATAGAAAACTGATCGTGGTCTACTTTGCCTCGAGATCATTTACAATACTTCAGTGAACTGATGGTTGATCATTCAGTTGAAAGTTAGTTTTCCTTCCTGGGAATATTATTTAAGTCGTTAAAAGGTAGAATTCCTCTCTGGGTTTAAAAATGAAGTTTCTTGGTATTATCAAATACTAGCAAAGCAGTCCTTTGCTAGGCAACCACTGTGTGATTACTTTTAAACCAAGTGCACAGGTTTAATGACATGCAGTTTGGAAGGGGATTTTTCCCATTGGCCTGCACTGCAGAACTTAGCCATACAATGAGCCCCAGCTCCCCTTCCATCAGTGGCAGTAGCAACAGGCGGAGCTCTGAAGGCTCCCAAAGGTGCAAGGAGACACTGAGCAGAGCTCTTGAAAGTTTTCCCTCCTCTGGGTTGCGCATGACTGCAGGATGGACAGAATGAATTGTATCCCAGAAGAGAGAGGAGTCTTTCAGAAGAGAGGAGAGTTTCTTTGCACAGATTATTTTATGCATGTAAAGAAATATATGCACCATGGCTACTTTTCTTCCATGTGCACGCAATGCTTTCAGATACATACAGAATAATTACTTCTGGAAGGAATATTGTGAAGAATAATATAACCAGCACCATCATCGTCATCATCAGCAGCAGCAGCAGCACGCAGTTTGGAGTAGTGCAATAAGAAAAGTAGCCACAGCACGTACTCTTGCATGTAATGTGGCTCTTGAATGTAATGAGAGAACCCAGTATTCTCAATAGAAGTTGACTTGGATGAAGATAGAACTGAAGTGGTAATTTAGCTGAACATTTTAATTTACCATATCTATTAAAAAAATTCATTCAGTATGTGCTGTACAGAAGCATGCTTGCCTCTTAGAGCAGACACAACAATGGTGCTTTTAGCTGGGGCTCTGAATTTCAAGAATGGTGATTTTTTTCCTCCCATAAACATTGTCAGCAGTATATTTTGTCTCAGAGCTACATCCTCTCTAAGCATGGTTTGTGTACTGTAGGAGAAAAAGCAAATTCTCCTCTTACTTATTCTTCGTGATGCGAGTTCCAGTGAAGCAAATTGCTTGGTGCATTATCTGTCAGTGTGTTCCCATAAACACACAGTAGCAGAGAGGGTACAGCACAAAAGTCCTTCTGCACAGCTGCTGCCTGTGTGACTGGGTCTGCCTGCCTCATTCTGACAATATCTGTGGATCTCAGACAGGGAAACAGGTCAGTGGATAGATAAATGAATGTAGGATTTCATCTTCTTTGGGTGCTTGTTAAACATCTGGGGGCCTGGGAATTTGAATTTGCAGCTTGCAAAATAAAATTATGCAATATTTATATATATATATATATATATATATATATTTCTTTATGGAAGGCAGGCAGGAAGGAAGGCAGGAAGGCAGGAAGGCAGGAAGGCAGGAAGGAAGGAAGGAAGGAAGGAAGGAAGGAAGGAAGGAAGGAAGGAAGGAAATAAATTAGGAAAATACCTAAAATGCTCTTTTAAAACATCAAGAAGGTTATTACATTTAAATAAAATAACCTTAGCATCTTCACAGGAGTAGCCCAGTTTAGCTCTCACGATGCAATCAAGGGCTGTGGGTAACTCCTTGTATGATCTGCAAGTATCTAAAAGGTTTTTGTCCACATCTCAGACCCTAGCTCTTGTTTTTTAATCACAGGAGAGAAATGGAAATGTTTTGAATACATTCACCTTCTAAAATGTGCCTCTAAAGCAGATAAGACAAACCATATATTGAAAATACCAATTTCTTTTCATTTCAAGTGTAGAAAGGATGCCACATTGTGCATTCTACATGTCTAAAATCACAGGAAATGAATCCTGCCTGAAAGACACTAAGTCAGTTAATGACTAATTGTGATGATGGACTCTCTATGTCATTTAAAGTGCCATAATTTTCTCCCAGTCTCATGTTTACCTGGTTTATTTTCGTCAAAGGCCTTGGAAAGAGAGACTTACTTTCCCAGTATCTACTGCTGACAGTGCTGTGCTGAGTATCATGACCACACTACTGAGAGAAGCAGTGACCTGTGTGGGTATTGAAATTGTGTGTATTGTTATACACAGTGGAGGTGTGCAGATTGTGCTTGACTTTATACCATTCTCAGGAAGTCTATCCACACACAGTTCAAGATATGGGAACTAAGTTAAGGAAATGTAATGGCTTGACATGTTTCCTATAGAGTCTTTGATTTAATTTTTTGCTCATTCTCCCACCTTGACAGACAATGTTTGACTCATTAACATTTCTTCCATGCTTTTCAGTTTGTTCATGTCAGTAGAAGCACTGGTTTACACTCCACCTGACTCTTTACAACTGTTTCTATGAAATTATCTTGGTTTCTGTGGTGCAAGTCTTTCTTCAGTGAGGCAAACCAGCCAAACAGTAAGCCAGCAGAACCCTTGGTTACTAAGCCACAACAATTCCTTGGTGTCATTCCCTGCACAGAGAAAACTACTGGGGATTAGTGGAATTGCAATAACCCTTAGCCTGTAGAAAAACCCACAAGGCTCCTATGTCATGATGTACTGCAATATCTCCTTGTTGGAACCACAGTGAGCTCTATAAGCACAGCTTCTGAAATGACCTTCCAGTTTCTTGTGCTCACACAGTTTTCACTGACACAATTCTTGTGAAAATGTGTGCTTTCATCTAACATTCTAGGCATTATGGAAACTTTCACAAGCTTGTCAGTCTCTTCAAATATATATATGTCAAACTGATGTACTTCACATACAGGAATGTTTCCTATCATACATTCCCAAATTCCCACCATCAGATTTTTATTTACCTTTAGCTTTCTAATTTATGACAATTCATTGATTTTATAGAGATGAAAGATATTCTTACTGAATTCATTTCTTTTCTATATAATATTTAGCTGTATTCAAATTAGCCACTGTATGAAATGTGTCTGTTTATATGCCCTCTGTTACTAGATGATTAAGCTTTAATTTGCCTCAACTAATAAACCCATTGTGTTTCTGCTTGGGTGAGTTGTATGTACATTCCTTGTGGGATTAATCTTTATATATTTCTAATTTCTTCATTCTTCTGATGGTTTGTTCTAACAGGACAGAGTTACTTAACTACTGCAAATGATGCCTTCTGAAAATATCATACTCTAGAAAGTGAAGGTTTGTAACAAGAAGCCATAATATTTATTAGGCCAAATCTGATGCAGTCAGACAAAACCACATAAAAATTCTCTGGCATATAAGCTTTCCTTTACATCTGAAATGGAAGCAACCTACTTCAAGTGAAGTACAGAAATCAGTCCCAGTTCAGTTTTATTACTGTTATTCACTATGACTGTCTGAGAAAGTTAACATCTATGAGGCTGAGAGAGCTGTTAGTAGGGCAGAGGTGATAAGGTCAGTAGCCTCTACTGAGGAGAAAGGGAGGAACAGATTATTATCCCCTGTAGAATCACAAGAGTTAGCAGTAGAGGTAGAGTGAAAAAAAATCATGTAATGTGTGATAAACTAACCTTCTTACTGATTTCTTGAATGTATGATTTTTACTACACAGCAAAATAATAAACTTTGTGTTCAGACTGACCTTCTGAAAATACCACAAATGGCCACAATGGTTTTGAAATGCCAGCATTGAGTTCTAGTGTCTATAAATGACTTCTTCTGTAAATCCATACTCATGTGCATGTTACATTTGCCATAAAGACCCCTATTTTCAGATTCATATCTCAAAAGAAGATAACGGAAGTCACTCAAACCTGGAATTAGAGCACAGAAGACTGCAGAAGGAAGGATTTTGTGTGTAGCGTTTGCAAAATCTGGTGAATTAAAGTACCTGCCATGAAGATATCCAGAAATACCAAGTCTGGAAATTCAAGATGGCTTTCAAAACTTTATTTGTCCAGAATGATTGCTGAGAAGCTCTGTCTGTCCAATACATAATTTCCACAGTGATCTAAAACTTAAGGCTGTTAGAATGGCAAGGTTTACTTAAATTTCACATGAGGATTACTGTGCAGATGCTGCTGAAACTCTAAAAAATATTTTATATGCAGTGTTTTCATGAAAGTTAAAATATTAGCAGGTCAGTGAACAACTGTCTGTATCCCATTACAATGTGAATTTACTTTTTGTGCTATTATTGCAGGTGATTATGTAGTCATGACCATATACTTCGACTTAAGTAGAAGAATGGGATACTTTACTATACAAACATACATTCCCTGTATATTAACAGTTGTTCTTTCCTGGGTATCCTTTTGGATCAAAAAAGATGCCACACCAGCAAGAACAGCATTAGGTAAGTTGTTAATAATTCCCTTTTCTGGTGTTCCTACACTAATATTTGAAAATGTCAACTTCCTTTCAAAGAGACCACTAGGTACACACTTTGGATTATTACTACTACACCTCACAGAACCAGATCTACTTATTACTGAGACTGCTGGGTTTTTTCCTGTAACAAGGTAATTAAAAGTAAACTAATCTGACCCTTTGGATGACACTACCACCTATTTTACATAAAACTCTTGAATTAATGTCTGTCTCCTTGTTCGCACCATGACATTTTTGAAGAATTAATTAATTGCACTGCTGGCTTCCTTCCCATCTGTAACTCTCCCCCACTGGGCATTATGTCTTAGATATACAGAAAACTGTGGGATATAATAGTATTAACTCATGCAAATTGTTTTAGCTTGCATGCTTGAAATTAAGCTTCACACTGGGTGTATTGATATTTTTTATAGATTGTGGGGATTTATGCTGGTTTAGGTTGTCCAGAAACCCATGGGTCAGGACCAGAATGTGCAATTGGGCACTGTGCTTTAGCATACACTTAGAAATGTTGACTTCAACTTAGAAAATTTTTCTAATATCTATACAAAAACCTGCAGGGTTTAGGGGTATATAACAGCCAATTATATGTAAGCAGAACCAAAGGAAAAAACAATTCCTTAGTTCAGATTGTGGTTTCCAGGTCTGCCAATACGAACTGATTCAGAAACCTCTGAAACCAATCTAGGAAAAAAGGGTAGCCTATGTCAAAGTTTGCATATCTGTTTTCAACCATTCCCAGATATTCACTGCATCCTTCTGCTGGAGTTTGTTACAATGTAGGCCCATTTTTCTGAGGTTATTTTACAGGAAAGGAATATTTAGTCCTCAGTCCCTCCATGTGAGTGCCAAAGGGCCAGAACACCGCAGCTCCAGCAACAGGATGGACACAATGACCCACAGTTATTCTGTTATCCAGTAACACCTCCAGGACAGCAAAAAGAGCATACACAGGTGAGGACAGAGCAGCTTACAACTGCCTGTTCCTGCCTGTGTAGACTTGCCTCTGACAGCCAGAAAATTGAGCAATAGGTCTTAAGTATACTTCTCCACTGAATTCTTAAATTGAACTCTTTTCTTAAATTGGATGACTCAGGGGAGGTAAGGAAAGACTGGCTGTTCTCCATCTTTTTTTAAAAGGAAGTCTAAAGTGGGGAGTGACATAGCATCCAGTTGGGTAATCCTTCTTAATGCAGAAGAAAAAAGAGACAAAAGACATCTAACACTTTGCATTATTGATTTGCTATAAGCATTTTTCATATCCTGTACCTAAGGGTGGTTCCCCACACCACACATCTAATTTTTTCAAATAATTAGACACAGAAGTAGATCACTAATCACCAATGTGTGACTCTCCACCTCACCCCTCAGTCAGCAGGAAGTTCAGAGAAAAAATGTATTCAGATACTGAAGTCATAAATTTGGCATAAGAGCATAAAAATGAGTTGTTCCAAGGCTCTACTCTACGGATGTCATGACTCACTCCTAAAACTCTGAGAATTTAATTTTATAGGCTTAGATATAACTTTTTTAAAAGTAAAGTCAAGTATATATGGGTCACTTCTTTTGTGCACAGAATCCTGTTGCTCCCAAGTTGGCAATGGCCTGTTGACTCCCGGGACGCAGTAAGCAGATAAGAAAAAGCTCCCGTTTTGCTGTAGACCTGCGTGTGTGTAATGCAACTTATAAACCCATCCAAGCAACAGCACACATCCACATCTAGATAGTGGCACATGGTAAAACTGTGAGTAATGCAGCCAAAGGCAAACTGCTGAAACTGTCCTGCTAATTACTAGAAATTAATCATAGAGATTCTGTGCAATAAACCTTCTCCAAGTATTGCTGCAATAATATAAAGGACTGGCACCAGGGAAATATTTCACTCTCTGAAATTAATGATTAATTTCCAGTTATTGGCAACTACTCACAGTTACATGAAGGACAGGTTTTATTCCTTTCTGAATAATGCTTACTAATATATTTCCACAATGGGGCAAAAAAAAAAATAATTTGGGTTTGGGACCATAAGTATTCTTTCAGCAGTACCGTTCAGAGGTATTAAAGCATTCTTTAAAAACTTGGTATTATAGTCCCCTTTCTACATGCACTTTGAGGTACTAAGGCCCAGACTGGCAACAAGACTAACTCCAGGCCACCTGAAGAGTCAGTGGGAAAATGGAAGTAAACTTTGAGTACTGGATGAGAACTGAGTTTTTGATCCTGAGTTATTCTGCTCTTCATTCAAAGAGGAAAAAAAAATGTCTCTCCACAGTTTCTGCTTGTCTCCAGTCATCCAAATTATCTCAGAATGATCTAAGAGGCAACTTTTCCCTGAAGAAAAGTTATAATCTGGAAAAGAATAGGTTATTTTCATTGAATATGGAGGGAATTAATTCAAACTGAAGCTTTCATCCAGTTTCCCTGTACTTTTTTTAAAATGGGTATAATATGTAATAGGACCAGGCAGTTTCTACAGAGCAAGATCAAGCTGCATTTTAAAAAGATACAGTGGGTATCAAGGCCAGCAATGTGTTGATGTAAAAAAAGATACAGATGATATTTAATAAAAAAGGAACATTGCTTTCCTTGCCATTTCATCTTTACTTCATTCACTAGAAAACCAAGAAAGTACTCAAAACAGGTGGCAGACCAGGAAGATGGAGATCTAACTTTATGAACAAGTGATAGCATGCATGAAAACAGGAGACATTTCCTCAAGAAACTTAGAAAAACATAACCAACATAACCTCAAGAAACTAAGAAAAAATTAACTTTGCTGACCAAAGAGTTTCTAACACTGAAACTTCTGCCACCTCACTTTGCATATGGTTGTCCAGCAAGCAGATTTCAAGCAGTAATAATTTAAAACAACTGTTTAGACCAAAGATCTAAAAGTTAGAGTGTTCTCATGCATTATATATATATATATATATGCATAATTTGATGTCCCAGTCAGTCCTTTCTGTTATATCAAATAGCATTTTTGATATATATTGGGATTTACTGAGAGAATATAACATCCCAAAATAGTATTTACACAAAGACTTGTAAGCTTGCACTTACAATTTCTCCCTGAAAATTCTGAAGTCAGGTTACCTCAGAGCTGTCCTTAGCTGATACTAAAATTCTGTTGAAATAGATACTTCATGAGCACTGTGAATTTCAATAACAGATGCAAAGCTCATTTTGCCATATGGGACTCCACAAAGTAAGAGACTTCACAATTTCATCTGGCAAGACATATGCATTTGAAACCACTCAACAAACTGACTTTCTTTAGCATGAGAGATAAAATGAACTAAGGGTATGGAAACGAGGCATTATATTTGGAAATAATGGTGCTGCATTTTATTCATACATACATATATATATTCTGACTTGTAAATGTACAGAAATACAAAACTGTATCACCTGGTGCACCTTCCTTCTCTTTTCTCTCTATATGTATCCCCATAAACTCATTTTAACATTTTTAAATTTGTGGCTGTGTCCTAGAGGTACAATTGATACACTAGATAGAATTTTTATCATTTCAAAAACTAAGTGCTTGTTTACGGTGGGAGCAGGAATCCGGTAGCAAGCATGATTTGAGCTGGTATTTCACATTCAGGCTTAAGGCATGGATGTAGGATGCAGATGGAGTTGAGAACTTATATATTTCAGCTAATTATTTCTTTTTAGCCTCCTAATAAAAAACTGTCCTATCACAGGATGAGTGGGAAATAAAAACTTACATTTGAGTCCAGGTATACAGGATGCTGTATACTGTAATGGAAGATCTCTATAGGTTTTGAGGAAGTTTTTTAAGACAGTGAAATGCCTGAAAGGATGTACGTGTAGGTCTGAAAAGGACACTTTTGTGTCAGAAATCTAAATGTGTATTAGGAGGTGTTAAAGAACTTTATTTTATATTGTGGGGTATGTCACAGTCTGGATGTGGTTCTTTTGAAATTAGTGACTCCCAAGGCCTGGGGCAAGGCCATAGAGAACGTGGTTGACCTATAGTTAGTAAGGGTCAAATCAAAGTCAGCGAGTTCACACCTTCTGCAGCTGGGCATTTCTGCAGTTGGCTGCTGTGATGAATGGCTAAACACTGTCTTTGAAGCTTTTCTAAAGCATCAGCTGGGTACAGAACTGATGTTAAGGGGTCTGGAGAGGTTGCTGGATCATGCCAAGCCCATCTGCTTATACTGGGAGGTGGCACGGATTTCAGGAAAAGGAAATATTTTCTCATAGCTTTTAATGTCCAAGGCACACACAAAGTCCACACTGTCCACTTCCTACCAGCATTGCTTTCATCTTGGTTATTGACTTGTGATTTTTTTCAGAAACTTTTTGTTTGTTTGTTTCTGGGTAATAGATATATAAGGAATTAAATTAATCATTATTATTCAAGGTTGAGACACAGGCAATATTTTTTCTTCTGACTTTTCCAGGAACTTTCTGTTAGCTTGAATGGATAAGGTTGTTCCTGTGACTCACTGTAGCCTCTATCAAACTTTACAAGTCAGAGATGGACAATCCTTCATAAAGACAAAGTAGTCAAAAATAATCCAGAGATACTTCTTTCTCTCCAGAGTGCTTTTAGTGAGAAGTTATTTAACTATAAGGCATAATTTCAGTCATTTCTTGCCATTTCAAACACTGTGCACCATTGTGAAACATCATTTTAACTATAAAAATGAAAGATTACCTTATAGCTATGTTCTTTGTTGAGAAGGTTCTCTCTTGAGACTTACTTGTGGGAAAGCTTTATTCCTTTTCCCAAGCCAATAAGAAGGTAGGTTTTTTCCTATTAGAAGACATGCAGTTCATAACAATCTGGGAATGAAAAGACTTCTATTCCTCAGGAATGAAGAGAAATTGTATGAATTACTAGGAGTCAAATAACTTACATGACATAGATTTCATTCTAGCACTGGTTTTATTATTTTGGATATTTCACACTAATCCCATTATATTCACTGTTACTAAACCAATCTCAGAAGTGATGCTTTGTATGCATTAAAAAGGCTGTTTCTGTTAATGTTGCATTTGAAGTTCGTATGAGTCTTACTCTGACTGAGCAAGTAACCCTGAAATCCTTTACTCAGAAGGAAAATGGCACTGGAGGACTCCCAAAGAAGCAGTGTGTGAACACATACTTTCAGAATCCATGGTCAGATCTTAGCAAACTTATTTTTTTTTTTCTCCCTCCACCTTTTTTTTTTTTTTAAGCATAAGATTTTTCCTGAGAGCACTATTACTGTGGAATAGAACCTGTTTCCTTCACTGCTTACTATGTTTCTTGGGTTTATTTTTCTGAGTTTAGTATCTCTTCTGCTTCATACTTTTCTTCAAAAATTTCTTCATTTTCTCCCTCTCCCTCACCCCCATCTTCAACCTAACTGGGATTGGAAAAAAAGAAAAGATGAAGAAAAGCATATTGAGAGGCATGGGAATGTCACTTCTGCTAAGATGAAAATAAACAACAGAGTAAATATTTGTTTACAAAATAACTTTGTCCCTACTGGTGTTATTTTCCATTATTTCTTAATACTACCAAATAAACTCAATTACTTGAGTACCCTCTGGATTTTTGTTTTGTATGTTTATAGCCAAAGATTCTTTTGTGATATGGAGAAGTGATGTTGCACACAATTAAATCAAGTTTCTCCCTGCAGGCATCACCACAGTATTGACCATGACAACTTTGAGTACCATCGCAAGAAAGTCATTGCCCCGTGTTTCCTACGTCACTGCCATGGATCTGTTTGTGACTGTATGCTTTCTATTTGTCTTTGCTGCTCTGATGGAGTATGCCACCCTCAACTACTACTCAAGTTGCAGGAAACCAAACTGTGCTAAGAAGAAGAAGTCGGTAAGATGGGAGCATTTAAACTTCTTTTCACGTGCAGCTCAGTGAGCAGATAATCATTCAGTTGTAGCCTGAAATCACATGGCACTTCACTCCTCCATGATTTTCCCAGTGGTGTGATCTGGAAAAGCCTTCAGTAGCAGTAGGAGCAGTTATGTGCCTGCTGAGCAAGGTCTGTTCCTAACAGAAGCAGCCTGCTCACCGTGGAGCAGCAACCCTGCCTATGCATCTTTTGTCCTCCAGTTACTGTGCTGGAGTCGGAAAAGTCCCCCACTGAAACACTGCGCAGCTTGTTATACAAATAAATGCACGTCAATGTATATTCAAATGCATTGCTATTTCATGCCTTAACAGGTCTAGAAATATTTGTGACCAGAATTTCATTGTCTCTGCTGGGAACCAGCATTTAAAGCCCTGTGCACAAAGGTGCATGTTCCCAAGGACAAAAATGGAGGTTGCTTAAAAAGGTTTTAACCATGGCTCATTTTTGGCCAAAAACCAACTTCCAAGTGTAACACCCAGAAAAGCCCAAAAGCTATCTGTTTAGAATCAACTAAAACAATCATGCAGGAAGAATTGCCTGGTTTACTTCAAAACCAGCTATGAGAATGAGAGGGGGCAGTTTAATAAAGAAAGAAATCTCAGTGTAAACATACAGAAGGGAGTTGACCACTCAAGATTAGTGATAAATATGTGTTCAAGATCAGTAGTTGGAGGTGGATGCCATTGTGTGTCATGGAGGAAATAAGGACATTTGAAATAAGGGCATTTGAAATCAGAAATCAAAGCCAAATAGGAAAAATGTGAAGAAGGAAATTGAGGAGAGAGAAGCCTAAATTTAGGGAATAATAGGTCATGATGTAAAAAGGCATTGAATGGAGAGCTATAGAAAATGATTGAATGAAGAACTAATGACGGAAAAGCTGAAACAAATATGGGATTAGAGAATGTCTAGAAAGCCACAGACTTAGTCAATGACAACTCCACTAAGCCTAAAATATCTTCTTGCAAAAATGCATTGCTCACAAAAGGCAAAAGATTGTTAACAAAAGAAAAGTTTGAGACCGAAATGAACTTGCTAGTGATCAAACTAAAACTACCATGGAAAGACTGAATTGAAAAGTCATGAGTATCTTTGTTAGTAGGATGTAATTCCAGACATATGAATGAAGTAGTGAGAAAGCATGCAACACTGACAGGATTTAAATTAACACCAAAAACATGCTCACTTACATATTGTTCAATCAATAAATAAATGTAATGGCTTGAATAAAGATTTTAAGTCTATGAAAACTAGATGTGCATTCTGCTGAAGTTTCACACCATTTTCAAGTGTATAGGATATTATGCTGAATATATAGAACACACTGCATGAAGTGTTTTATGCATTTTAGGGCTTGGTCCAAGGAATACTACTGAATATAAATGCATGAGAAGCACTAAGTTTGTTTTCTCCTGAATAATTATTTTTTTTATCTTTATTTAAGCTACCTGATGTAAGTTTTGGTCATGTAATGGTAAGTAATTTACTTTATTCAGGGAGAGAATTGGGGGCATGAATAGATGGTTGACATTTACTTGCACTAATTCCTGAGAGAGCTGTATTGCTGTGTTATGCTCTACCCTGACTTCACTAAAAATATTATTTGCTTTTTTGTTAAAAGGTCAGTTTGCTTTCAGCTGTGGCAGAGGAACATATCTGCCTCTTTCTATAAGGACTTTTCAAGTGATATGGGAGGGAGTAGGGTCAAGTATAGAATATTATGTGTTATTTTTACCTCAGAAATATTGTGTATCTGCTTTATATAATACAGAAGCTTCTCACTACATTTTATGAGAAAGTAATGAGCATAACTTATGTCATAAACTTCTATGTTTAACTAAGTTTCACAGAAAATAAATTAATTTATGCATATTCAAAACCTTTAGCAAGCTTTCAGGTGGATTTTCAAATTTAGGCACACAAGTTGAGCACAGGTAGTTGTTCTCTATCTACAAATGGAATATGTGCAGCAGCAATAAAGTTGGAGCAGAGAACAAAATTGTGTCTCTAAGTTGTATGAAATCTGAAACTGGAACACCTGCTATACTATATGCAAATATTCTATATACTATGCATTCAGACAGCATGAAGCCAGTTAACCAGCTGGTTGAATGGTCTGCCATCAAACAAGAAGGGATCAGAACTAAGACACTGGGCTTTGCCCTTCTTAGGTTGGATATGCTGAAGTTTCTCATTTATAACTGCCAAATCCATGTAATTATCCTATCTTTTTACAAATAATAATATACACTTTTTTTCTATTTTTTAAATACGAGTTCTCTGATGTATTTTAAGACCTCATATAACTTACAGCAAGCATTACATCTATCCACTTTCTACTGCTGTCACTCCCAGGACAGACTTTTCTGAAAGATGAAGCTAACAGAGCACATTTAATGGGTAGCAGCACTTTCCTTTTTCCAATTAAAAGCTATAGGGAAAGATAACTAAAATGATATTGGGGTTTAAAAACCTCTATCTAGAACTAGTCATTCTGATCTGCTTGGAAAGTATCTGCAGCATTTTCATGTTTTTTACTTGCTCTTTTTTTTCTTCACCTTAAAATAATTATTGAGCAGGACCTTTGTCTATACAAAAAAATCTTCCAATTAGAATTTAAATAAGCAGTGTCTCTGGCTCTCAAGATATCATTTTGTCCTTTTCAGCTTTGTAGTGGTGATACTTAAAAGGTGAAATTTATTAACATTAGTAAATCCATGTTGGGGTAATCCCAAGACTTTTCTTTACCTCCCAGAAAACACATATATACTTTGTCAGAAATAATATTATTAAGCATGTTTAACACTACACCTGAACTGCCTTGTCCAAGGCCCTGGAGAAGTGCCTTGTGTAGGCAGACCTCCTGGGTGGGACTGGGATGGTGCCCACTGTGTGTGCACTACTCTCCTCCCAACCCCAGCTCAGGTGGACACACAGAACACAGGGGGACCATCCACCTTCCCCTGGTATCCTGTCACTTCAGGATCCCTCCTACCTGACAGAGATTAAAACAAACAGAATAATCTCTCTGCATTATTAGGGCAATTATTTTATCTTCTGTCCTGAACACACAGTTGATATAACAAAACAACAGCAAAATATCCCAGAGATGAGGAAGTTTCCTTTGCAGAGCCAGAGTACTTTTTTAACTTCATTCACCAAAACCTCTCTGAGCCTTTGTTTTTTTTAACATAAATATTTTAGACAGGCATGGAAAATTTAAGCTCTTGAGATGGAAATGTTCATAAAGACCTTCAATAAATGTATAGTATTTGACATAGTGGTATAGCAGAACTCCATGTATACTCTAGTCATTGTTTTTTCTTTCCGAAGTACTAGAGTCAAAAAAGATTGCTTCTACAATAATCTTAGACCTTCTTCACATGGCAACACATTGTATGGCTCTGAAACAAGCCACCCAAAACTTCACCAAAGAGAGAGAAGACCAAACAGGTGGAATTTCTGTCATCTAATCTCAGAGATAAAGTCATTCACAACAAATAGATTTGCAATAATCTGTTTCTAAACTGCAATCTTTTTGCAGTTCACAGCAGAAATCGCCTGAGACATTTTAGCATTTACTTATGATAAAATGAATTGTGTCCAGAATTGACTGGATTCCATAGGGCAGTTGTTCAGGTGTAGTTATCTGGGTTGGCAGTGCCAGCATCTAAGTAGAGGGATGCTACATTGTCCTGGGTTAGGGCAAATTTGGAAGAAAACTTCCAAAGGGGTTTCTCTAGAAACCAGATTCAAGTGGCTTCTCCCCCAGCCAGTCTGGGAAAAGATCTCCTTGGAGAAAAGTGGAAGAATATTTATTTAAGAAGTAAAGTATTCACAAGCATAAAAAATGAAGATTATTAAACAACAAAACCTCTCACTGCTCTGAAGAGATGGCAAATTCAGAAAGTCCTTGTTGTGGATGTAGCTCGGCTCACTCAGTCTCTTATCAGTCCCTTCGGGGCTGGAAAGTGCCACATCCCGCGCCCCGGTGCTCACGGTGTGAGTTCCCAGTGTTTGTCTGGGTTTTCAGCCCAGAGCATGGATGAAGAGTTCCAAGAAAAAGAAAAGCCAGAGTCTGGGAACTTCTCTGCCTCACCTAGCTAAAAGCAAAGGAGAGCTCTCTCTCTCTCCATGTGCAGACAGCACAGCTGTGAGAAGGATGCAGGGAGCAAGTGCAGTTTATGCAAACAAACTGTGGCTTCTTCTCCCCACCTTCGCTCTCAGAACCAGCCTTAAAGGTGCAGAACTTAACATCCAGCAGAAACAGAACAGGTGACTGGGGATAAAAGCATCATAAAGTCACCCTAGGACGCACATCAAGTTCTTAGCTCAGGAACCAGCATTTTTAATCAGATGGGTAATACTACAGCATGCCAAACCAAAGATTTGTAGAAAGTCAATTAAATCAATGTAAAAAGGAAAAATTTCCACTGAGGCACATCAGTCATATCACCAATGTTTTCCCCATCCAGGAGGAAAGTTTTCAGTCACTCCCTAACACCTTCAGCAGGAAATGTTGAGTACTTTGTATAGTAGGGATGAAATAACCCAGAGCATCTTCCTAAGTGCAAGAAATCATGATCAGCTTGTTAGAGCACCGCCAGCACTCTCCTGCAGGCAAAGCCAATGCTCAGCACAACCCCAGGGAGAGGAAGGGCCTCTTAGGTAAGAGAAAACCAGGCTGACAGGGCTGTGTCTGCTTTGTCAGGACAGTGCAGACAGGCAGCAAAGCTGATGGGACCTTTTCTAGTGATGTCAGCAGAGGAGGTGACATTTGTGAAGATGGAATGGGTAAATGAAAGGGGAGACTACTGTGAGAAGGCATCTTGCATGCCAAGGAAATGATGTGACAGAAAAGCTGACAAAGTGCAAATAGAGAGTACATTGAAGAGGGAGAGGTCTTTAAGCACGAAGGCTGCTGTGAGGATGTGCATGACATCAAAGTGTCCTATCTCTGAGCATGGTTAGTGTGATAAGCACTAAGGGGATATGTCTCGGGATGGCATTTTGAAATCCTGTACTGAAATGATCACTATCTATTGCTGAGCATATCTGTTTTTATAAATCACAATAAAGTTAAGAGGCAGTGAATGTTCCTATGCGAAATGGAGGACATTGTAGAAATAAATGGAGAGGGGGTATATCTTCCTTATTATTGAGAATCCATCTTAAATGTAGCTGCAAGTATTTAAAACAACTTGCAAATAATATTCTGACAGGCAAGTGAACTCTTAAGAGTGAAAAAATTATTGCTGCTTGCTGTGATTATTAATTTTGATCTGCATCATACAGAGAAACTTGTCAAACCGTTGTGTTTTTTTTTTTCTCCTCAGAATTATTCTGTACTTGATATGAGACCACCAACTACAGTCATCACATTGAACAATACCATGTATTGGCAAGATTTTGAAGATGCATGTGTGTATGAATGTCTGGATGGGAAAGACTGTCAGAGCTTTTTCTGTTGTTATGAAGAGTGTAAATCAGGCTCATGGAGGAGAGGACGGATTCACATAGACATCTTAGAACTGGACTCTTACTCTAGGGTCTTTTTTCCTACATCTTTCCTGCTCTTTAACCTGGTCTACTGGGTTGGATACCTCTATCTTTAAATGTTGCCTGTAGCAGTGAAGACTGCTGCGTTTTCTCACTGCGGACGGATGGTGAAAGTGCAGAAAAAGTGAAGGACACAGTCAGTTTCATCTCAGATTATAAAGACCACATTAACCTTCACCATCACAGAGCCTGATGAAGAATTTTAACATGTAATTTCCTGAAAAAGCAAAATACGGAAGAATTCTCTCCTAACTGCTCTTTGTTTTAAGAAAAAGGTTCTTACAAAGTTCAGCTGAATTTGTAGTGTAAGCAATGTTTATGAATAATTATTGTATATTAAAATCTCTACTACTGTCCCTTGCCATAGAATATATTCACAATTCAGGCAAAGTTTAAATATGTAATTTTTATTTTTCATTCCCATACTTTCTTCACAATGCTGCCATGTCCCTAAGGCTCAGAGCAATGTACACTGACACTAGCAAAGCCAAAGCCAATGAAAATGCTCATTTGTATTTCAATTTGCTTGATACCATAGGTTGTGGGAAATTGATGATCTCCTTGATATAGAGTAACCACCAAGAGACAATAAGAAATGTCTGGTAGGATCAAAACGTGGATGTTACTTTCTGCAGAGGCCTGGGATTCATGGAATTAGCCACTTACCCCCACATATTGGTTTTAACTTAAAGGTGAAAAGGCAGACAGAGAAGAAAGCTATAATTTTGATATAAATAAGACTTGCCTATCTGTGAGGAAGCTGTAGGCATAACTTCTACATATTTTCAAGCTTTTAACTGTGTTTTTTATGACTCATTAAACACAGGATGGTTGTTGACTTCTAAAATACTATACTTGAAGCAGGACAAGATTGCTGCTTGTTTGTGTCATTGTAGCAGTTCATAGTGCATAGCCCATAAGTAAAAATCACTATAATATCACCAGGAATACGTGACTTTCTTCGGATTTCAATCTGCTAAAAAGTGTGCCAATGCATTCTTATTTTTTCTCTCAAAGTTGTATTATAAAATTGAAAAACATGTGTGCCAAAGGCCTTTTGTTCTTTTTGTAACATTAAGCACTGCAATATTTACTCATGGTAGTTGTTCCCTGAGCCTGAGCTAAAGACTGAACACTTGTTTGAATAGTGCATTACAGGAACCCAGTTGTGACACTTGAATTAAGCATGAAGTAGTTGCCACATACAGAAAGAGGTTCTTTTCATTCTTTTCCAAAATTTCCAACTATATTTACACTAAAAAAGAATTTTGTATTTTTCAAGGTTTTGATCATTCAACCCATTTTTTCAAAAGTGAGTTTTACAATATTAGAGTAAGTGATGTCTTTTACAGACTGTCTACATAGTTGTTATTAAGCAAACAAACCACATCCATAATTAAATAGCAATAGCTTTCCACTACCCTTTGCATGACAAATTGTTACAAAAGATTGAAGTCAAAAGATAATTAAAACAACAATTCTATTTCTTTTCTCTTTTGGAGATAATTTTTTTATGAACTCAAAAAACATGTCTCTTCCAGGCAGTATTTGATGAAAAAATGAATAGTGGATGTGACTAGAAAGGAGTTCCTTTTTCCTCAAAAGGAAAACCCTGCAAACAAGCAAAAACTAATGCAATGATAATTCTAAAGGAACAGAAATGCTGTCATGTTCTTTGAAACATCACTGTCTGTCACTGCTGTTGCTCTGTTCTTCCACTGAGTTTTTAATTGGAAGAAAAAAAAAAGCTAAAACAAAAGTTAATTGTAGTTACTCAAAATCTTCTGTTTTTAACTTGTCTGAAATATTAGAAACATAGCTGGATTTAGGTGGTGGAGGGGAATTGCTTCTGTAAGGCCTGAAAAATTTACAACAGAAGCACAGAGAAGAAATATTTTGAGGCAGAATCAAAGCCTTATTTTTAGAAAAATCTGCCCAATCTGATGTCTTCTAAACTAATGATAACCTTCTGATTTCAAAATACATGTTGAAAATTTTGCTAACTCTCATTAGCAAATTTACTGCTCTGTAAACCTGTGTCCTGCATTTGGAGGTATGGACTTAATTTAAGGATGTCAGTGATATTTTAAGTAGTGCAAGGAAGTGATTAAATTTGAGTTGGATATCCTGATCTCTAATTATTAATTCGTCTACTCTCCTAGTCACCTTCAGCCATATTTTGCAAGAATACTAGAAAAAATCCAAGCCTAAATAAAAGAATGGAAACCATTTTCCTTTAGGGGGTGATCCTGCAAACCCTCTGCACAATCAATTGATTTTGGTGGTAGTATTGAGACAAATGATGCACAATCAGGTGCTTTCCACGATTAGATCTTGAACAGGTAAAGTGAGGTTTATTTAAAAATTCCATACTGTGTGACTTTGCTGGGAAGGAGAACATTCCCATGTTAGATGATGAGCATATGCTTTTCTTCTCTTCTGCACATGGCTGCCCATGAGCCCTGCTGAAAGCAGAAAATTCCAAGAGACCCTTCTTTGCAAGACTGATTCTGCTAAGTCCATTCATATTGCCTATTTTCTTTTTCATAAACAGAAGACATAAGAATATAGTTCCAACTTTTTCCACTGTCCTAAATCAAGAAAGAAGCTTTAGACACTACTGCCTTCTGCTCTTACAGTGTGAGCAGAGGACCTATCCTACTGTGTAATTTATTCTACTCTGAGGTTATCAAAAAATTGATTTTTATGCAAGGCAAGCGGCTGCAGACTGGCAGGCTTCTGAGTGCATTCCTCTGCTTGTTCCTGGTAACTTGGCTTACTCTCACTGCTCTACTGCTCCAGGCTTTCTCAGCCACTGGAAAACCTTAGAGATCAGGGAAGGTAGGTGTTCTATGATCTGAATCATTCAAAATGGCATTGTTGTCTGCATACATCTATGTGCCATATCCTTCTGTAGGAGTAAGAATATCCTCATTGACCTTCAGATATTCTTTTGCTTCTTTTGCAAATTGGCAAAAGTTAACCTTTTCGCATGCTGTCCCAGAAGAAATGTAAGAACTGCATTTTAGCATTTTAGAACATGTTCTCATCATATAATTTCATATTAAAAACTTGCATTTCTTCAACTACTTCTTTTTGTTATTTAGTACTTCTTTTTACCCTTCCAAGAAAGGGAACAGAGAAAAGCAAAATCAAATGAGCAGTGAAATTAACACATTTTGATATGTAAAACCTCAAATCAAAAACCAAATCTCTTCACATTACATTTCTTCCTTGTTGAAGTTGCAGAAGGGATTGTGAAGGGTTTTATTTCCCCAGGAGGATCTAAAGTCAGCCCTCTTATTCTCCCCTTCAATTAGAAGTTCTCTGGCATAGTTTTTCTTTATTGAGGGCAGCATTTTCAAGGCAACTAAGAATGTATAAAAAATTTTGGTCTGCGTAATTCGATCTGCTCAGTTTTCCTGGCTCTGGTGCCTATCATATTGGCAGCTCCCTTTTTTACAGCCATTCTTCCAAGAATGAGGGTATAAAAACTTGTACACTCTCACAATGTCCAGCAGTAATGTGGAACTGCAGTGCACCACACACCACACAATTTTAATATAACTTTCTAACCAAAAAGTGGGAGCGTAGTTTAAAACACCTCAGGCATTTTGATAACCTTCTCTCTCTCATGTTCTCCTTAATCAACTCTCAACTGTATATTGCTATATTGTGCATACCAATAAAAATGATAAAAATTACAAAAGCCAGAACTGTCTTCACAGAGACAGTGATGAGTAGTGAAGCTAAAAGAAGAGAAAGAAATTATTTTTTATTGCTGCGCAATTCTTATCTGTTGCAGTCCTTTTATTCAATTTAACCCACAGCTAATTCCAAATCATCCACCTGGAGGTTTGCAAATTCATCAGCTGGAACAGCAGTGACACATGAGCCTTTAGCTGATAGGAATTTATTTTTGGAACTGCAGGCATACTGCCAAATAACTCAGACAGATAGCTATCTTAAACACTTCTGTGCAGCTCTAATGTGTCTTGGTGTCTAGCATCTCAAGTTATTTCATGAATTTACCCCAACTCTCCTTACATGGTCATTTCATGAAGGGAAGGCTGTTTACCTCCTTTTTATACAAAATTTCACCATATATCCAATGAAATGACTCTCCTTCATGACCAGATGCCAGGTAGCTCTGGAACTACTGACTTTGTGGGAAGGGAGACTCAATATTTTAAGACGGAGAGATTTCACCGAACCACAGAATTAAATAGGTTGGAAAAGACCCTGGAGATCATCAAGTCCAACCTATGACCTAACACGACCTTATCAACTAAACCATAGCACTAAGTGCCATATGCAGTCATCTTTTAAACACCTCCAGGGATCATTTCATTAGCCTCACCATCTGAGTCGGTGTTACCTTCTAAACTGTAAAACAAAGTGCCCACTGAAACTTGTAAAAGCTGTCCATAGCAGACTGTACTTTTTCCATTGGATGCTCTTTCCTGGTTTCCATATAATGCAGTAAGAAAAGGCAAGCCATATATCAAAATCCTAGATGCCTAGCTAGGCAGATGATTTTTTTTTCAAGGTATCTTTTTCTTGCTCCCAGTGAAATGTTTGTGCCTCTTACGTCAGTGCCTTTATCATTCATTAATATGAACGGATAATCCTTAACATTAAAGACTATTTCTCATCTGAAAGTTAGAAAGTGGGACCAATGACTTTTCTGGAGTTCTTCCTGAGCACCACAGTGTGTTACCAATATTCTAAATGTCTTCAACCTATAGACTGAGAATTTCTCTGCATTTTCTTTATTTTTCTAAACAGTCTGTAGGTTTCTTATTTCATAAATAGCAAAAGGCTGCAGTGGAACTTCAGCAGTTTAGCAGAATTCTTCCTTCTTCATTCAGTAATTTCAATCCACCAAGAGATACAGAGCATAAAATCAAGGCTCACCTAGATCTCCTTCCAGAAGACTATTTAAAATAGGCAAAAACAGACTATGGATTGTGAATGTATTTCCACAGATGAAAGGTTTTCTTTAAAGGTTTTTTGGCTTTTTTTTTTCTCAGTTAATTTTAGATCCTGCCTCCAC